GATCAAACATTTAATGCAATCACAACTAAGGCACTGTTCTATTCTTTAACTTTAAAATTTAACTTTCTCGTTTTTCGTTAGCACACTTTTTAAACTGATAAATGGTGTATTATTTTAAAAATATTTCTATATAGAAGTTGTTTTAAAAAATAAATAAATACATTTTTCAAAGTTATAATATTTAATGCTTAATTAATCAAGTGCTAATGATGTTGCTTGTTTTGTGTGCCATAAAAATTTGTCTTGAGTTGGGGAGATCGAACGGGGCTTAATTGGGCAGTCCATTAGCCATGCAAGGATATGAAATGTTGATAGTGCTAATTGATGTTTATCTTGGTATCGTTGTACAAGCCAAATATGACGATAAAAAATGAACGGATGGGTATTGTTTTAGACATTAAGAGTTTATATATTTTTATTACTTTATTGTAAGTATTATTAAATTTCTTATGGCAATGCGTGGATATTCACTATTTTACATTGATATAAGAGGTCATGTTCGTTTCAATGTTTGGGTCATTAAGCTGTTTGCCTACCAGAGAAAACACTAAATATTAAGTGGAGTATTAACTATTAAAAAGCTTGAATTTTCCTTTTAGTTTTTAAGAAACTTCTTCATAGACTTTTTTTCTAAAATTATATTAGCGGCTTAAAGATCATGCTCGTAATGAGTGGGGAAAAGATGGAATTGGTGACAGATGGAGGTGGAAAAGAACACCGCGTGGCAGTTATGGGCCATAACTGTTCTAAGATTGGCGCTAGCCTTTTTATGGAAACTAGAAAAAAGCTCGCGCAAATGCGCGGGCATCTTATTTATTGTTTTGTTTATAGAAATAATGCTATTAGAATTAAGTCATATCTCATCAAATAGATTTAAAAAATTATAGATTTTATCTCATAATAACAAAAATCTATATTGTGAAATAGATCATAAACTTTAATATAAATGATAAGAATGTCTCTTAGATTTAAAAAATCACTTTTATCCGGGTTACATGTAAACTTGCCTATTATCACCATTATTTATTATCATTTTTCTTAAAAGGTATATATCTTTTTAATAAATGGAACTTAATTTGTACCACCAAATAAACTTAATACGCCATTAATACATAAGACATTTATTTCCACTACATACCTAAATATTTATCTCAACACTTATTTCTAAACCTATTAATAAATATTCTAAAACTACCGCTTTTATTAACCTATTGGTTAATAGGATAACGTCATTAAGAAATAGGCATGAATGCCCCTCTAATGGGTGGAACCATCAAAGCTTTATTTATCCGCTGCCTTCAAGCATGAGTCGACATAGTCGTGCCTCTCACAGTTAGTGTGGAGCATAATTTTAATTAATCATAGTTAGTTATCGGCACCCTTAAAAGAAGATTGCATTGATAAGTAGGAAAGTTGAGCACTCTTATCAATGGTGGCCTCCTCTGGGCTTGCTTCAACTCAACCATATGTGTGCCCCCTGCTATACTTGTGGTAGCATAGCAAGTTCTGTTATTCATGCTCGGTGCCCTTCATGGAAACAAAGAGAATATGATGTGATGAAAATAGTTCTTCATTTATTCCCATAAAAAATAGTTTCTTTATGTTTTGTATGAGACACCTTTACTAATTCTAAATGTATTTATTTTCTCAAAATTATTTATAATAATTAATTTGTTGAAGTGCAGTTATAGTTACATCAGTGGGCTGTTTGGCGTACATTTATCAATTATCACTTATGCTGAACATATTATAATTTCTCAAGTGTAAGAAAATATATCATGAGTAGTTTTATGGACATGTTATAAGATTGTTCATTTGTTACCAAACCTATTTGGCAAAAAAAATGTAAATGACCATATTTTTTGTGATGGATTAAGGAGTTGTATTGTAGCATGATCATTGCCTGTGCATACCTATCAAATAATTCTGAAAAATCCAAAAAAATTAAGAATCTTAATCTCACAAAAATTAAAATAAAGTCAGATATAATTGACAAAACATAACGTTGTTTCATTTTCATGCATGTAGATTTCAGTTAGTGTTATATAATTATCAAATGATATTTGACCATAAAATATAATGTGATATTATTTCAAACATTATCATAGAATTAACTATTATATGTCACACAAATTATTTGAAAAGTGTTTTGAATTAAATTATTATATGTCGGCTCCATGTGTTGTAATGTATTTAGCACTATAATATAACTATGATAAGTCATCAACATTTGAATACACCTTATTATAAGTTGACTATATAATTGAAAATAATTTTTAAAAATGGGTGTTTAAATGCATTTAGTTTGTTTTTATATTAATATAGTTTAACCTGCATATTTATCTTTAGAGTAATAAATTTTATTTTATAGTATAGAAAATCCTATTCTGAAGAACATCTATATTTTTTTTTGAAGGTTGTACCAACTTATATATGTATTTTTTTTGGGATTTATAGCTTTATTATCGTATGTACATATGTTTCTTTGTGAATATCCGGTACACAGTTTCTCTCGTATATGCAGGGGATTAAGAGGAAGCGGGCTAATCTAATGATTTAAAATAATGGGTCCATTATTTCAAATGAAAGTTGACAGCAAAATTATAAAGTGCCATGTGGCGGTCTAAGAGTGCTTGTAGAAACACCACATGATCATATTTGTGGAGTAATAAATTTTGTTTTTATAGTATAGAAAATCCTAGTTTAAAAAGACCGTCTATTTTTTTTTCTACCGACGTATATATATTTTTTAAGGGTCTTATAGCTTTTCTTTTCACCCCTACATAAGTACGTACCTTTTTTCAAGTGAACAATATCTAAAGTTTTTTTTTGTTTGATGGTTTTTTTTATCGTACTTACGTACTCTTATATATGTATTTTTTTGGGCTTTATAGATTTATTATCATATGCACGTATATTTCTTTCTTTGTTTTGTTTCAATCGAACATCGGTAAACAATTTCTCTCGTATACCCATGAAACTAAGACTAATAATCTATAAAATAGGTCCATCATTTTAAATAAAAATTGACATCTAAATTATAAAGTGCCATGTGGCGGTAAGAGTACATGTAGGAACGCCACGTGATCATATTTGTGGAATAAATTTTATTTTTATTGTACAGAAAATCATATTTTAAAAAGATCACTGTCTATTTTTTTCTACCTATGTACATAAATATGTGATAATAAATGAAAATATTATTAATAGGAAAACATCAATAAACATATTAAAAAAATATTCAAAGGCTCTTTTCTTTTTTTGGGGTCTATATATATATTTATATTTTTTTGTTATTTTTTCAAGTGAACAGTTTCCTTTTTCTGTTTTATAGTTTTTTATCGTACGTAACTACTAAGTACGTTCGTTTTTTTAAAGGAACAGCACCTAAACGTACCTTTAGTTTTTTTTTCCAAATACGTACCGACGGTAATTTTTTTTCCCGGTATAAAAGGCATGCATCTAAGCAAATAGATCTAATTTAATGGTCTAAAATAATAGGTCCACCAATTTAAATAAAAATTAACGGTGAAATTATAAAATGCTACGTGGCGATCTATAGGAGCGCCACATGGCGGCTTAGGAGCGTTTATAGGAAGATTAATGGACTTTTAGTATATAATAGAAGATAGATAGATAGATAGATAGATAGATAGATAGATTGCTCACTTAAATTTGATTGACGGTTGTAATCGATTACAGTGTATGTAAACATAATTTTTATTAATATATAATTTTATATGTTTTATTTTAAATGGGTTGTCAACTAAATCGTCCATACAACAATATTTCCTTTTCAATCTGTCTTTTGGGTCAAAGTACCTTCAGATTTTGGTGCAGCCTTTTGCTATAAAGCAGATCTGCAAAGGGAATAACACTTAAGGCCCTGTTTAGTTTTCAAAAAGTTTTTCCCAAAAACATCACATCGAATCTTTGAACATATGCATGAAGCATTAAATATAGATAAAAAGAAAAACTAATTGCACAGTTAGGGGGGAAATTGCGAGACGAATCTTTTGAGCCTAATTAGTCCATGATTAGCCATAAGTGCTACAGTAACCCACATGTGCTAATGACGGATTAATTAGGCTCAAAAGATTCATCTCGCGGTTTCGAGACGAGTTATGAAATTAGTTTTTTCATTCGTGTCTGAAAACTCCTTCCGACATCCGGTCAAACGTCCGATGTGACACCTAAAAATTTTCATTTCGCGAACTAAACGGGGCCTTAATGCAGTAAACAAAACTGGTGTTCAATCATTACATCTAATTTTATGTTTTTTTACGAAGAAAGTACTATACTACTTTTTTTGATGTAGTACAATCTTTGCTATTGAATTTACACGCCCCCGGTCCTATCCACGTCACCATCGTCCCTACCAATCGTTTTCTCGTTCTCGCAACGCTGTACCCTTTTATGACGTGCAAGTGTGTAAACCCCCCATGCCGTGTATATCCACAACCGGTGGCCGCCGTTCACCGGAGTCCGGCTTGCCGCGCGTGACAAAAAAAAAACGTACAACAGCGACGCGCCATGGCCGGAGCAGCCGCTCGTCTTTCGCTCGGACGAGATCAAGACAACACACCCAAGGAATATCCGGTTCCACCGACGGTGGGGCCCACCCACGAGGTGGTCCCCAGCTGTCAGCGTCTCTCTACAGTCTATGCCACCTACCTAGTGATAATGAAGCACCGGGATACTAATTTAGGGTGTGTTTAGTTCTTTGGGTGTAAAATTTTTGAAGTATACGGACACACATTTGAAGAATTAAATGCAGACTAATAACAAAACAAATTACAGATTCCGCATGTAAACTGCGAGACGAATTATTAAGCCTAATTAATCCGTCATTAGTAAATATTTACTGTAGCATCACATGGTCAAATTTTTCCCACATTTAATATCCCATGTATATGTCCAAACATTTAATGTGACGTTTTGGCTAAAATTTTTTAGGATCTAAACAAGGCCTTACTTCTTATCTTATGATGAGAGGAGAGTAGGAAGAACACATCATCTATTCATAAAGGTAATGCAGAGCATTCCCATTGTTTCATTGTTCATATGACAAAATGTAATCCATACGAAGAATTTCCAACACGACGCGAAAAAAAAAAGAGGAAGAAATCTCGAGTATAGCTTTTTAAACACAAGAAACCGGTGTACTGCATATGAGTTATAACGACAGGAAGAACGGCTGTTGTTGTTCTGAAAGGTTGCAAGATTTCCAAGAAGAATTCATTTCTGTGAGCTATCTGTAGCGAAGTAAGGTATGGCCACGATCAAGCTGAGAGGAGCTGATTGATCTTCATGGTGTAGCAGCTTTGAAATTACTCCTTGCCATCGGCAGCACGGAGGGAGCCCAGCTGAACCGGGGCCTGGGTGGACACCACCTTGGATGAGCCGTAACCCGCGATGTCGACGCCCTGGGTCTTCTCCTTCTCTATCTGCTCCTTGATCCAGAAGTAGGTGAACCTCAGCCCGTCCTGTTCATCGTCATTTGTCGATATTAGGTATTGTCTATTCTAATCTTGTCATTGATCTGACGGTGAGAATTTTTACAGGCATTGCATGATTGGTGTAGTATGTGAGAAGATTTAGCAGAACAGGGATAGATACCTTGAGCTTCATTGTGGGTGCCCAGCCAAGCTTCTCCTTGATGAGGGTGTTGTCGGAGTTACGGCCACGGACACCCTCGGGTCCAGGGATGTGGTGGATGGGCAGCTCCCTATCCTCGAAGCTGAGAATGATTTCAGCCATCTCGTTCATGCTTACCATTTCATCGCTTCCAATGTTCACTGGCTCACGGAAGTCCGACTTTGTCAACCTAGAAATTGTTTGTATCATATTAGACCAGCTTCTCATCTAATCAGGTGTGGTTTAGTGTTCTATCTAGATAATAATGTGACAAGTAGCTGCATACCTCAGAACACCCTCAACACACTCATCTATGAATGTGAAGGACCGGGTCTGGAGGCCATCACCCCACATCTCAAACCTGTCAGTGGAAGTCTGAGCCTTCCTGCAGAATGCAGCTGGTGCCTTCTCACGGCCACCTATCCATTGACAAATTGAGTTAAGGATGCCCCAGTACAAGTACAGTTCAATAACTTGGAGAATTGGTTAAACTTCTACCTTTCCATGTTCCAAAGGGGCCATATATGTTGTGGAAGCGGCCAACACGGCACTCAATGCCAAAGTCCTTGGTGTAGTGCTTGCAGAGCTCCTCAGTTGCAAGCTTCTCCAAACCATAGGCATCTTGAGGCTGGACAGTAGTTAAAACAGTAGGAAATCAACTTCTGGTTTTACTAAAACATAACACTAAAGCCTAAAATTATTTTGATGGACAAACCTCAGCAGGCCAGGCATCAGATTCCTTCAGGCTAACGTTAGTTTCAAGCTGCTTGAATTCAGGGTAAATGCATGCACTTGAGGCATAGAAGAACCTGTAGGACCATTAGTTGTAACAAATGAATTGATATGGATAAAACAAGCTCAGGCTAAGCTGAGATATAACAGTAAAAATATGTAAAAAAAAAAGAGAGAGCCGGACCTCTTCACACCATTGATACGTGCAGCCTCGAGCATGTTGAAACTGATCATGGTGTTGTTGTACATGATCACAGAGTGGTTGGACTGAATGAACCCCATACCACCCATATCAGCGGCAAGGTTGAACACATGGTCGACGCCGTTGGTGACCTTGAGGCAGTTGTCCATGACCCTAAGGTCAACAAGGTGGAACTCATGGCAGAACATGTCCTCAGTCATGTGCTCATTCTTCTTCCAGTCGGAGGCGATGATGTAATGCCCCTCGCTCTTCAGACGGCGAGCAATGTGGGATCCAATGAAACCACCAGCTCCGGTGATCGATATCCTCAGCTTCTCAGACGGCCAGTACTGCTCCCTCTCCAGTTCAGCATAGGTGTACTCGCCATAAGCAGTTCCGTTCTTCTCCGAGCTCCCCATTCTGTCAAAGAAGGAATCTGAATCAATATGCAAAAGAGGATATATATGCAAGAAATTTAGTGAGTTGGCCAAAACATTGATAGCTAAGTTTAGCACCAAAATAATTTTTTTTTCATGGACCACATGAGAAAAAAAAGCGTAAAATTCAGACAAGGATACGTCAATCGAAAGATCAGTAGCACCGTTTTTTTTTTGACAGAGAGAATGATAAAGGGAACATGACAAGCCGCCTTATTAATTCTACACGTCCATCCAATTTCTGAAAGAGTGAATCACTGATTCTTTTCTCACATGTCACACATAATTCATGGAAAGAGAACACAAAGGCATAACCAATAGCTACTCGGGGAGAGGAATCTTTGAAACTAATGATGAACAAAAAAAAAATAAATCCAGCACGTCAACGGCCAATAATGGTCACATGCACTCAGTCCCTAATCTTTATAAGTTAAATATTCCTGTAGATCCAGCTCATTCCAACAGTTAGCATATGGAGAAGAACATGAACCCTCACTACCAAAAATAAGACAAGAAGATGTTACTATCTGAAAAGCAATGCTTCCTTCTCTCTCTCGGTGAAAAAAGAAAAATGACAGCACACTCATGGATGAAATTTTTAAGCCCATTTCTATCGTTCCCCACATCATGGTAGCCGTTCCAACCAACCATTTGAGCACTGCCTTTTTGACAAGACAAACTCCAAAAACACAGCAAAAAGATTATACAGGGCAATATCAGCCTGTTCAAGCATGGAGCAACCAATAATCTTCTTGCCACCATGATCTCTGATGGAAATATTACAAGCAGACCATCTCAACTACTCCTAAGAGTAACAAGTAACAGTAGCAGCAAGTGCAGAGCTCATCCGGAAACACCATCTCAACTACTCCTAACAGCGCGGGGCAAGGCAAGCTAGAGACCCCCCGCATATTTCGTATTCAGACAACACAATAGCAGGCAGGCATGCATGCATGTGGGTTTCAGCACTTGAGCTCCAATCCTCTGAATAAAATCTACCGGAAACAAACCTCTAATCGCCCCCCGGAAGGATGGACCCGTCCCGAGGAGAAAAAAACAAGAAGAAGAAAAACCCAGGATTTACGGATTGGATTTTCTTCCCCCCTAACAACAAACAGAGGATGAACACCATCACCACCACCACCACCACCACCAAGCACGGAGGAGGATCAGGAGAGGGAAATACCTTGGAGGCGGCGCTTGGTCGGTCGGAGAGGGATCGGAAGCGGCCGCCGCGCGGGGTGGAGAGAGAGAGAGAGGGGGGAGAAGGGGATAGGGAGGAGGAGGATGATGATGATGATGAGAGGGAGAGATCTCCTCCTCCAATGGTGCGTTATTTATACTGGTCTCCGTTGGGACGGAGGAGGAGAGGAGCGGCTTTATTTTCTTTTCTTCTCTTTTGGGAGGACCCACACAAATCTCAAGATTTTGATCTCCCTTTGTTGCTTGAAAAGGCAAAAAGTTTGTACTACTAAATTGTTTATCATTATCATATCCTTGGTTTTTTATAAAGGGTTTATCATTTCCTTGTTGATAAGAGATTTATTAGCTTCCTTGTTTAGCTATGTTAGAGGTGTTTCGGTTTTAGTATGCATGTGTTGGCTAGTGAATATTTTTAGTGTCAGTTTTATGTTTACATTTTATAAAGTGGTCATGGCTATAAATTTTTGCTACGACCAAAATTTTTGAACGTGATAGTACTGTGTAGTATTACGATTCTGGTTTACCCTATACGATAGTGCAGCTTGGATTAGCTTCATCACCAACGCCTTCAGTATGGTGACGTCTATAAATTTAAATTTGTTGACCATGGGGAAGTCGCTCGCGTTTGATGATATTGTTTGCTCCGTATAGTTATGCCATCTATATAATTCTAACGGAAAATTTATAAAGGGTTAGCCTATATTTATATGGTACGTCAATATTCTCTAGAACATATGATTTAATAATAGAAAATCTACGCTAGTATAAGAGAAGTGTAAAACCACATCTTAGCTCTTACATAATGGGTGTGTTCGGTGGACATAGCTGCGGCTGTACAGCCACAGCATTTACAACAAATGCAGTAAAATTTGTAAAGATAATATTGTACTGCATCCAGCCACATTCACGACTAGTTGCAATTTAGCCCAAGCCAACAAGCCCAACATCTATCACACGTCCTAGTGATATGTGAAAAAAAAGGAGACGCTAAAAATTGCGAAAAAAAAATCGGATGAGTACCGAAAGTTTTTCTTGAAAAAGAATTATGGTTAAGAGCTTTAATTATTTTCCGAAACGGAAGGAGCCAGCTAGGCTCCTCCAATCAACCGTGGACATATGTCGTCCGTCCAAATATCATTAATCCCTTTCTCGACCAAAAAAAAAAGCATTCGTCACAGTGCCAACACTCCCATCCAGCTGAGTAGAAAAGAAAATAAAACAATTCGTGAGTCTCCGGAAAAGAATAAAGAATTAATTGTCCGGAAAAATGAGAGAGAATTCGTGAGCAACCACCCCTCTGGTTGACTTTCCCTCAGAGCCTCCTCGGGAGACGAGCCAGGCAGGCAGGGTCAGACAGGCGCGTGCGAGCGAGCGGTGGAGACGGGCCGGGCTGGGCCGGGCCCACGGGGCGGAAGTAACGTGACACGAGGTGGGCCTCACGTCGGCCGGCGGCGGTCAAACGTGAGGAAGCCCGTGCGCGTGCGGCGGCGGTGGGTAGGTGGCGCTGGCTGGTGCCTGGTGCCTGCCTGATGGAGTGGTGGGTGTGGGTCAGCTCACGTACTCATTTTGAGTTGACGCGGGTATTCAGGTTACAGAGAAGTTTAATAGTATAGTCCACTACTGGCTCCAAGTCATCTAGACAACGTAATAACCAATTTATACAATAGATGCTTACTATACTATTAATATCTAGTCCCACCTGTCATACTTACATTACGTCTTGGAGTCCGTGCTGCAGCTGGTTACAAATCTGTAGCCCGCTGCTCTTCTCTCTTCCTTTATATCTTTAAAATATGCTTATAGCTGGCTTATAGCCTGCTATTGTACCTGCTCTTAATGTATCACGTCGCTGTTAACTTTTCACGTAACGTTTAATTATTATATTAGTTAAATATTTAGTGTAAATATTTAAAAGTATAAGTTAAGAGTATAGTTTCTTTCATGATAAAAAACCATAACAAATAGATGATATTTATATAATCTTTTTAATAAGACAAATGATAAAAAATCACATTGTGAAAGGGGCTGTAGCCTAGTGGTTACAAGAGACTCAGTAGCACCTGAGGTCCTGGGTTTGACTTCTTATGGGAGCGAATTTTCCAAGATTTAATGGCATTGTGCTTTTAATAGTAGGTGACATATCCTCAAGGATTTGCCGGCCCGGTCCAGTTTTCAAAAGATGCTTATATGGGTAGGGTTAAATGGCTTCATTAAAATGAAAAACTAGATTGATAACAACATTAACTCCGAAGGCAATTAGTTACTATCTACAGGAGCGAGCAGAGGTTGACAAAGCTACTCCCTCCATCCCAAAATATGAGGCACAACCACTTTTTTCTGTCTCATAATATAAGGCGTGCGTGTATACATGCATACATTAATTATTCCAATCACATTGCTTGAATATATAGATATGATTCAATCAAGGAGGTGATTAAATTCTTTCTTGGTCTTTGTGTTAGGAGTAGTTGTACCTTAGGACACCCACAATGGTAAAATAAGGTGCTCTCTATAAAATATGTACATCTCAGCAATAGACTAGATTAATAGTAAACCACCTCAATAGTATGTCTACATGGGTATCTATAGCTCTCTAATCCATTGCCTCGTTTTTCTCTATAGACTATCTCCAGGTTAGTAGATAGCTTTGCGCGCTCTCTCTCTTCATTTAATCTCTTCCAAGTAGAAAAATATGCTGACATAGATCTCTTGTAGATAGCCTATAGATAATCATTGCGGGTGCCCTTATATTTTAGGATGGATGGAGTAATAAAAATAGGAAGAAAAGACCACCGAAACTGAGGTAGGATGAAGAGCATTGGCATTGGCACCGATTAGATTATCGTGCTTGGTGGCGAAGAACCTCATAGAGTCTGCGGTGCAAGGACGCTCTGAGCTCGCATTCATCGTCACGGGCATTGGAAGAATTGTTTTCAGGGAATAGGGAAGTGATCATCGCGAAGATTCAGCGAAATCAAAATAATGTTAGCCATACTCTAGCTAATAGAACCCGGTGTGAATCTCTTACTGAGTTCTGGCCGGATGATAAATGTAATTTCATCTCACATTTTGTTTGTGAGGACTTATTTGCCACGTCTAAAGTTTTTTTTACTAGTTTTGGGACGTGCTACCTCCATTCCATATGAATTGGGACCCACCTTGTTGATTCCTAGTAAAGTTTTTGTCAAATATATGTACTACAACTTATAAATTGGAGTTATAATACTCCCTCTTTCCCAAACATAATTATTTCTCTATTTTCGTAACTAAAAATCATTATATTTTAGGATAGAGGTAGTATGTGTTTAATAAAATTAGAGTCAAACACTATTCTTGCTCTCTTTTAAAACATACACACATGTTATAAATGTGTGGTGACGGTAGCATATGTGCGGGTACGATTGGTCAACGGCCTAGCCGGTCGAGGATCATGACACTTCGTCGATTGGTCAACGGCCTATATTAAGAGAGGAGCTTCCATAATCAATGCTTCGAGGATGTGGGGATGTTGGCTTCAACTAAAACCTCGTTAATAAATATTGTGTCTAAGTATCGTCATGTTTAGATTTTTTATGATGCTCTTTCACGTTTTGATCTCAATGTAGGTTTTTTTTTTAACAATTCAATGCCACAAATGTACACTGTAGGAGAAAAATTTTGAGTGCTAAAACTGCACTTAATATAGGACAGATATGGTATTTAAGTATATATCACTGGAATATAATGCATTTACTACTTCATGGAGATGAATTACTAACTGTAAGTTCGTGGGAAACTTGTTTTCACAGTTGCTGCCGACTGGGTTAAATTAGCCCATCTGGGGTTTATATTTAGTACTACTACCAGCCCAGAATCTCGCATGCCATAGAGCCACTTGTCATTTTTGTTCATCCTAAGTCTCAACTCTCAACCACGGATACTTTGCGTCTTGTCTTTCAAAAGTGGTACTTAACCGAGTTAGTAATTAACTAATTATTAGGGGGTAGGAGTACAGAGGAAACAAAGCCCCTGACCAGATCTACCTTCTTCAAAACGTCAACGTTGAATTTTAATGTATTACGTTGGGCGAAGTTTTTTAATTCAATTTTGCATGGTATCTAAGTAACCCTTTGTCCTAGGATGGTTTTTAGGGAAATTAAGAAAGTACAGTAAAAGATTATGATTGTTTAAGAATGAAATTATGTGAAAAAACTATAAAAGAAAAATAGTGGTAATTGGTTGAGACGATGGATAGGTGAATAAATAGATACTCCCTCTGTTAGGAGAAAAAAAACCATAGTTTTAGCCTAATGTACACTTCTTCCTCGTATTATCTCTCTTATCATTTTTTTTCAATTTTATGATGGACACTATAGTTTTTTAACCTATTGTTTATATTTTTTTAGACGGATGGAGTATTTACTATCTCCATTGGTTTAAGAGTACCATTTTAACCGTCACAATCCACGTAGTAATATCTAATTCTCGATCCAGATCACTGATCGGTGAAGTGACCTGTCAACGTAGCTAGCTTCTCTCCACATGCATTCAGTTTCTACACGAATCATATCAAAACTAACGAACGTGCACACTGCTGAAGTATACCGCCTTGAAAACCTGGTTATTGGTTGAACAAAACGAAACAGGGTGTACATGCGAATCTTGATTGAATTAATTAACAATATATACCGAGAATTATTAGAGTGCAGTGGAAGTGCATGATCCCATGTATCATTATTTGTCTTGGAGTTGGTTGATGCATTGACTGCACATGTATTCAGATTATTTCAGAGCTGCAACACACAGCAACTTTGATTGTAGCAGTGGTAGATTCCAGCTGCAGAGGCAAGCGTTGAATGATTGCAAAGCAGCTTGTTGACATGTACTGTAGAAGCAGTCCCTATCGTAGCATGCACGATCATTGAACAAGCCAAAAGTATAATTAGTATAGCGCAATGCAATTAATTAGTTAATTAATTAATGGCTAGCTCTGTTCCTGTGTTCCATGTGGAAGTTTCTCAAGCAAGTTCTTCGTTCCTGGGTAATTAGTTTGTTAATTAATTTCATGGTGACGAACACCTTTGCCAAGATACGAGGCATGCTTCTTCTGAATGTTTTCTAGAACAAGGGATATATACTTGTTCTCCTCCTGAAAAATAACAATCAATTGGTGTTCG